ATGTGCGTGCGTTCTTCTCCGGTGTCTGTTGTTATGCCACCAGACTCATCTTGCCCGTATTCTTCCTGCGGCTTGTATAGGAACTGGGGTCCGGTGAACCATCGATGTTCCGTGTCGAAATCCGTGGGCACTCCTCGAGTTGCGTCATCGGCCACGTTGTGACGCGTAGGTACCCATTTCCATTCGTTCGCTTTCGTTTCTTCTTCTATTCTATCCTCGGCCCCCTCACGTATATGATATACATGGTGGACTTGATGGCCGAGACTGCGAGTGGACGCTCCATGCAGCACCCATCCGAGCGGAGTTTTCGATGCGACTGGTTGTGACGAAGATCCTCGGCGAACTTCTATGGCCAGTAACAGTTCCCAATTGTCTTGGCCGATGAGGATCGTTGGTGTGGCGTCGTGGTAACACAGTATCTTCTTGATGCCAGCCAGGTGTTGACATCGTCGGATATCCCTTTCTTCTATTTGTTGTTTGGCGAGTTTGAGTCCCTTCATTGTCCTGGCGGAGATCTCATACTCCTCTTCTGAACCGCATAACGTTAGAGTTACGCGTCTCGAGCTATTTGTTCGAACCGTTGCGCCGGCCAGTGCTTCTATTTTCAGTGGTTCTGTCGGCCCCTCCGCGCCGACTCTTGTGGCTATTTCCTCATCTATGAGGGTGACGGTAGATCCATCGTCGAGGAGGGCGAAAGTGTCGATGCTGGCCCGAGGTCCGACTATTTTCACCGGCAGTATTTTGAGATAACTGCGCGGTGAACGTGTGAGCGAGACGCCTGTCGATACTGTTGCTGTCTCTGTCTCTGTCTTCTGTGTCTCGCTCGTTGCCCTGTAGTGCAACAATTTGTGATGCATACGTGGACAGTCATCTATTCCGCAAGTCTTCGTCTTGCAGTTATGTGTCTGTGTTCGATATTGTAGGCATCGGAAACACAGACGTTGCGCCTTCGCTATTTCCCAACGCCCGTAGCTATTTTCTTTCTTGAATTTTTCACACTGTTGCGCCGCCGTGTGCGAATTTGATTTGCACACGGGACACGTTGGCTTGTGGCGGGGTGGGCTGTCCGTCTTGCTCGCTGTATGTGTTCGCTGCGGACGGATTTGAACACGACGACTTTCCGACGGCTTCGGTTTGTCGTCCATGCTTGCTATCTTCATGGGTTCGGCGCTTACGCTATAAATTTCAGCTTCTATCTTCACGAAGTTGTAGTACTGTACTAAATCCGGTACGTCTTCGTGGGCTTGCTGCTGGCAGTAAACATACCACCTATGTCGAATGTTCGGCGGTAGTTTTTCTATTAATAACTTCGCCACTTCCGGGTTGTATAGGAAGTTGATCTTCTTCAACGTCTTCAATGACACGATGCTATTCTTGACGGCTGTGGCGAATCTGCAGAACTCCCCCGGTGTGTCCTTCGGTGGTGGAAGACTCCGCAGCTTTGCTATTTCGACTTCTGCTATGTTGTTCGGTCGACCGAAGGTGAGCTCCAACTCGTGCATGATCTCTTCGGCCGGCGTGTTTGCTATTAGGAGGCTCTTCATTGCTGACCTAGCCTCCTCGTAAGGCTCTCCGGAGCCTTTCTATGTTCTGCGACGGCGTTAGATACCCCGCAGATTCTTCGTAGGCTGCCTTGAAGGCCAGCCAATCTGTATGCGCCCCGTAGAACGGTGTGAGTTCCCCTCTATACTGTGCTGCTAGGGGACCCGACGTTGACGCTTGTGGGTGCGGCGCGACGGCCGCTAGCGACGATGTAGTCGCCCTGACGATTTCGGTCACTGCAGTTGCGAGATCACCAACTTGAATGGTGTCTGTGGGTGCCAATCGTTGGTGAGTTTCTATGGTACCCCGAAGCGGCTCCTCTATTCTCGCCGGTGTGGGCCTCTTCGGTGGATTCGGTGGTGCTTCTGGTGGAGGTGGTGGTGGCTCGGACTGCTGCTCGAGCCATTCGACGACCCTATTGTGGCCGTCTTGCGATGCTGGTTCCGACGGTTCTTCGTCTTCTTCTCCGAAGGCTTCCAGTCGGGCTAGCTTGGCCTCCGCCAACTGTAATCGATAGCGAATGACCTCTTCTCGGGCGATAGCGATTTGTTGCTGTCTCTCCTTTTCTCTATCGGAGAGCTGTGATCGCGCCGTTGTTTGTAGAACGACGGTTTCTTCGACGTCTTGTGTCCCTTGTGGCGACCTCGGCGGTATGCTATGTCGAATAGGGAACGGGTTTTCCCTCCGCGGTGGGTCTGGGACCTGTTCTGCATCTGTTTGATGCTCTTCTGTCTTCTCCTCTTGCATTTTGCCAGTTCTGCTTCGTGTGACGGGCATCTTCTATTCTTCTTGATCCGGCTCGAAGGACCAGCAGATGTGCTGGCCGCTGCCCCCGGGAGTCGGAAGGCGCGTCGGCAGGCACCGAGTCGCTGGTACGCCCGGACGTCAATCTATCCTCCTCGAGGTGAGAGAGTGCCCTTTTCAAAGCACTCCCTACCTGAAGGGCCTCAATCAACGCCGCGGGCGCGTTGCGGGTGAAGGACCAGGTGCCTTTTTATAGGCACCACGATGATTCGTCCTGAGAAGGACGTTTAAACGATGCTGATGCGACGGTGACACGATGCGATGACACGATGCGTGAAGAGGATTGTGATGACTATACTTAACGACGGCGATGATGGACGGGCAGTGAATGAGAAAACGGTTCTTGTGGTTCAGAATGCAGAGGCGAGGAGAATTTCTTCAGTGGTTGATTCCTTTTCAGGTCGATTTCGCTATCCGAAGATCAATGTCGCTATTCAGAGGTTGAATTCGCTATGATTTGTAGCGCTTTTGGACGCTACTTATATACGATTTTTGGCTACTAGCCAGCGGACCCTTGGCCGCCCTATTCTCCTCACCCCTTTATATAATTTTTATTATATTTTATCAATCTTACATTTTGTGTTTACAATTTGTGCATCAAACGTCAATACCATCTTTAATTTACATTTTTATTATGATGTGTGCGCTGCGCGACGTGCGGTTTAGGAATAATTCGCGATTTCGCGGATTGCGCCTTTTATATGACCTCGCTCCCCTTCCCCTCATATATATATAGCGCGGGAGAGCGAGGTCGCGCGTCAGTCGAACGAATGCTGCCGCGCAACGCACATTACAATTATTATTACATATCTATAAATGAAATGATACTATAAAAAGATCCCTATGTATTTTGGGATCTATTTTTTATACTATATTCTATTCTGTTTCTATTTGCCGACCTATTTATTTTTAGGGATTGAAACCACAACCATTATAATCATTTATTTGTCAAGCATTTTTGTAAATAATAACATAAAGAACTTAAATTTCTATAAACTTATCCCTATCAAATCTATTAATCTTAAGGTGTTACTATGTAACAATTGTACTATTTATAAATTTGCTATATCTAATCGAACTTATTTCTACAAACTATGACTATATATAATCTTTAAGCGGTGGTCCGGAACACAGTTTGTCTATTACGCAAAGGCGGTTATTATTGAAATTTGCCGTACAGTCGCCCGCCGCAGCTTGCACGGTATTTAGTATTCCTGATTACTGCTTTAATGCACTTTGCTGCATTTTCCTTATAACGAAAATGATAAAAACAGCCAGTCAGGGTTGTTTTTGTTACGTCGCTGAGATCTTCCTCCAGAGTGTGACCTTGAACGGTCGCGGCTCCTTGAATTCCTATGCGACTGAAAACTTAGCCTTGACGCAAGCCTATTCACCTGAAGCGTCAGTTTAGCGATTTGATCTACCAGCATATCTGTAGTGGTGGTCTGGGCAGTGTGTGACATTTCGGCTATTTGTCCGTAATGTGTCCGGCCTCCATGACCTTGTCTGCAATAGTTGCTAGTTTGTCCATGTCCGTGAACTCACTCACAGTCAAATCTGCCATTATGCACTATATTTCGTAATGTTCACACCACTAAATACGCGGGTCACCACTTTCACGGGTATAGGTTATCAATTTATAGTATTATGTATAGGTTGTCCTATATATATAGCGTGTTCGGGTGTGGTATCTGTTAGGTTCACGAAATAATAATGCATCATATACCAGACTGGGGAGGGACGTGCAGTAGATGCGCTATGCAACGCGATGTAATTTGATCGTACTCGTATTATTACTGTATGTGTGTGTGCATAACACACCTACACAATTTATCACATTGTGTCAGTGTGTTCATTATTATCGACTATGGAGATGAAAAGATGAATAAAATAATGATACTCATAGATCCCACAACTCCCAAAAGGTTTTATAGTATTTTGACAACTTTTGCTGGATATTTTCCCGAGAAATGCTTTTGAAACTCTCATTGTTGCCTTATTAAAATCTTTTGTGAATGGAGCGGGAACACAGCTATTATATTAATTAAATATCAAAGAAAAGTAAAAAGATGTGTATTTTTCCCAAAAGGGCTCACAGTGAACAAGAAAGTAACAAACAATTGGTCAAAAGTGACATATAAAAAATAGATATCAAAAATATAAAGTTTATAAAAATCGATCTCCATCAAAAATATCTTTATGTGAATTCCACGTTAAACCTAATATATCTTTAAAAGGTTTATGCTCTAAATCTTTTTTATCTGACGGATCTTCTAATCTTTATATTGACATGTAATTCAGAATATTAACTGAACGCCTGACTTAGCCTGTCTTTTTTATTAGTAATACAGGCAGTCCTCGTACTTACGGCATGTTAGGTTCTCGAAATACGCGACGTAAATCGAAACGACGTAAGTCGAGACATATTTTTTCATATGTTTACATGTAAAACTCAAGGGTTAGGTTCCACACGGACTCGAAATAATAAAAAAAACTGCATTTATAACAAAGGACGTACTTTATTATTAAAAGTAAGTTCTTAAAATAATTATATATTATGCACTTATGAAATTGCTAGTTATTTTTGGTATTTGTGTGTTATTAATTTTAATAATAATTATAAAACTTATACATGTGTAATGATAAATAATAAATTAAACTTTTGGCTTAAAGAAACTATCAATTCTAGATTGCTTGGCTTCTTTCTTCTTGCTATCATACAGATCTTGGTAACAGTGATAGGCTGCACAAATTTTGTTATTAACGTTAAAACTTCTCTCAAAATTAGGATCAATTTCTTCAAAAATTTTCATGGCATTCTTCAAATTTGCAAAGGCTACGGAAAGTTTTTTTAGTGTAAGTTCTTTTTCAGAGTCACTAATAGAAGAAGCTATTTCTTGTGACTCGAGTGCTTCCTTTTGTACTTGTGCCTCCAATTCAATAAGATCTTCATCAGTCAGTTCTTGCGAATGTGAGCTTAACAGATCATCAATATCATCAGTAGTAACTGCAATGTCAGGCAAACGGTTAGCCAAATGAACAATGTCAGTTGTGATCTCATCGACATTTGGTTGATCTGTAGATGTAGAACTTTCAGATGGCTCAAAAAAAAATGGGCATAATTTTTTCCACACTCCTTTTAAATTGTTGGGTGTCACCTCATCCCATGAAGTAGCAATATTTTTTACGCATTGCAGGATATTATAACTTTTCCGAAAATCTCTCAGCTCCATGCCATCATTTTCATTAGCCTTTACAGCCTGTGAAAAAGTTCTCCTGAGATAATAGGCCTTAAAAGACGCGATAACTCCTTGATCCATCGGCTGTAACAACGAAGTGGTGTTGGGAGGCAGGAACACGACTTTGATTTGAGGATCAATATCGGCAATACGCACAGGATGGCCGGGAGCATTGTCCAAAATAAGTAAAGCTTTATAAGCCAAATTATTGTTTGAACAGTACTGTTTCACTTCAGGTATAAAATGCTTAGTAAACCATTCTTCAAAAAGTATTGATGTAACCCATGCCTTTGGATTAGCCTTCCATATAACTGGAAGAGTACTCTTGACGTAATTTTTGAGAGCTCGAGGATTTTCAGACCTATAAACTAAAAGGGGTTTCAATTTAAGATCACCTTCAACATTCGAACCCAATAACAACGTCAAACGATCTTTAGCCGCTTTAAATCCAGGCATAGACTTTTCTTCCTGTGATATAAAAGTACGAGAGGGCATTTTTTTCCAAAACAAACCAGTTTCGTCCACGTTAAAAATTTGTTTAGGCGAATAGTCTCCACTTTCGATAATTTCCTTTAATATTCCAGGAAAACTCTGAGCAGCCACATGATCGGCACTAGCAGCTTCTCCTTGCACTCGAATGTTATGTAACGAATATCTCGTTTTAAAGCGCATGAACCATCCGCGACTGGCAGAAAAACATTTTGTTTCGTCACTATTATTCTCGCCACGTTTATTTTGCAGTGTTGATGATACTCAGCGCCTTATTTTGTATAATAGCCAAACTTAGAGGAACCCGTCGCTGAGTTTGATCTTGAATCCAATTGTACAACAGTTTTTCCATTTCATAAATTAAAGCATTCCTTTTGCGTATAATAGTGCTGTTTGAAGAGACGGAAGGAAGAGCTGTTAAGAGTTTTTCTTTATCTTTCAATATTGTTTGTACCGTCGTGCGTGATAAATTAAGTTCTCGTCCAATAGATGAAGTCGAATAACCGCGATCTTTGAGTTTTAAAATCTTAGATTTAACCTCCATTGTAATTGACTTTCTTACTCTCTTCTTCACTTTATTATTACTGTCTTGTTTAGGTGGCATTGTTTAAAATTCACTTAAATATGTATGTAAACACAAAAACTGTCAAAGATGCAAAAAAACTAATTTATTACGTCTTGATTGTCCGTTGTCCCTGAATGTACTAAACAAAATCAGCGACATTTGCGGGGTATTCCCCGCACGAGACGACAACGCGCCCCGCCCGCGCCTCTCACGGACATTGACCTTGCGACAAGTGAATTCTCCGATATGCCGGAAATCGAAACAAATGACGTATGCTTGAGGAATAGTGTCAAAACATTGTTTGACGTAACTTGAAACGACGTAAATCGAAACGACGTAAGTCGAGGACCGCCTGTACTTCAATTTCAATTTGAACCACTATTATTTCCGATAGCCAATTATTACCGATCGTGGTTATTATGCCTTTACACTATCCTCTGCCATAGTGGTGGACACGAAAAAAACATACATATTTTTTTCGATTTAATGCATCGGATAGTGGCATTGATGTAATATCGATATATCAAAAAATACATCGATTGTTTTTCTATAAGTTATATATGTATGAGTTATATACGTTTACATTAAGAAAATCACGAATTCTTCAACGTGTCTTCTACCAGCTACAAAATCATTTAAGAGTTAGATTTTTTATGAGATCTTAAAAAATATTTGTCTGAAGTTTATAAAAATCGCAAAAATTATTACTTTATACCTAAGTCAAATAATTCAAATCCGAAATTTGATAGTTCAAATGTATGAGATGGGGGGAAATTTCATACATTGAATACAGATTATCTGTCAAATTTTGGCACTGAATTATTTGACTTAAGTTTAAGCCATTATTTGAATTTGGAATAGTTTATAATTCAGAAAATAGAAAAACGTAATACAGAAAACATCGTAGCTTAAGTAGTTTTAATTACGGTAAAAATACAAAAAACTCTCAAAATATTTCAATCTCCCGCCACGTCTCGGGTCGCTTGTCCCTTAAAATCCCAATATGTTTTATCGATACTGTTTAAAAACAGAAGTTGCTCAATCTTTTACCCTGTTTCTGTTTGTTTCATTGTTGAGTCATAACTTGCGCCGCTTGTGAAAACAAGCCTTGTAGATGGCACTGATGTGCCCACCATTGTTCAATATTTAAAGGCGATTTTGTGCAATATTGGAAACCGTATTTTGTAATCATTCCAAATTCCCAAAGGATTATCTTCCGACAGAAGTTGTCAGGTAAACTGAAAGTTCATCAGACAAGCTGTCTACAGAATTATTACTCTTCCAATTACGATGTACCAGTTTGTGATGATCACTCCATAATGAAAATCTTTTGTCAGACTTCATCTTCAGTCAGACTTCATCTTCAGTCAGACTAGATTTCTTCATTTTGACGAATAGGAATCTTCGTCATATCTTTGATTTTTGCTACAGCATTTCTACAAGCTATTGCATCATTAAAGTGTATTTTTTTAAATCGAGGGTCTAAAATGTTTGAATGGCAAGAAGATTTACATGTTCAATGGAACCCATTATTTTCGTTATTTCTTGCAGAATCAGCTTCTGCAACTCTTGTGCCACAGCTTCTAGCACAGCTGAAGTAATTTTAGAAAATATGCAGCGGACTAAATGTATTATTTTACTGGTTGTGCAATTTTTATATCCAAAAATTTCTTTTGTGGCTACCTCCAAAGGCCGCAATATCAAGACGGATGAGGCAATGGATATGTCCGAACCGCTGAGCATTGGGGGTGCATTGGAGTGCCGGAAAAGAATATTATTTAAGATACTGCGCAGTTCCGTCAGTTAAAATTGCTGGCTGAGTCTGCCAGCAAGTTTAAATTCCATTTCAGTTTCGTCGAATGAAGACGTCATTTTAGATATACGTTTAGGTTATATGCAATACTAATACAATTACAAAGCTTACTTTTTCTGAGGATTAACATACAAATACCTTAATAATATAAAAATATTCGAAGAAAGCACAATTGCACTCCTACAAAATGGCGTCATTGTTTGTCGCAAAAATGGAAATTTCCGCGTGGAAAAAGCACCGGCCGGCTGCACATATAATCTGCATATAAATAATCTATATTCATATAAACTCCATTCTAGCACTTTTGAATAGTCATATTTTTGATTCTACCACCCATTCAGAGCGCAGATTCATCATAAAAAGAATGAGCAAAAACTTGTGTATTGCTCTTTTGAATAGATTTTTTTATATAAATAACTAGCTGACCCGGCAGACTTCGTACTGCCTCGTCGATAAATAAAAGACCCAATCTTTTGTATAAAATGATTTTAAAACAAACAAATCGAATCCGTATTTAATAAAAAAGCATTTATTGAATAAAGCATGAAGTTTTATTATTATTTTCGATACATCATGTTGCTTACTTAGAAAACAGAGTTTTCCTGAAATACTGGCTATTTATAATGTTTAAATTTGATATTCACAGACACACACTGTTAAAATAAAGTCTGTTAATTAATTTAAAGCTTTCTCATAAACTATATTTTTTGTTTTGTTTTGTGGTGCGTAAATAAACAAAGAAGACGGTTTTCCGACGCGTGAACACGCGACGTATAATTGTCCATGCGCGAAACAAGGAAACTCCAAGTTGATTCCACAAACTTCCAACGACTGTCCTTGCGATTTATTTATGGTCATCGCAAAGGCCAGACGTACTGGAAATTGTAAGCGTTTAAAATCGAATGGTAAGTCAGTTGGAATCATCGGTATCCGCGGGATCAAGACATCCTCTCCTTTGTATTTTCCTTTTATGATTGTCGCCTCAATGACGTTATTCATCAGTCTTTTCACAGCCAGTCTTGTTCCATTGCATAGTCGAGGTTGATTAATGTTACGCAGCATGATGACAACTGATCCTACTTTTAACTGCAAATTGTGAGGTGGTAATCCAGGCAATTCCAGTGAATTTAAAAACTCAGTGGGATAGTTGATTACGTCGTCCTGGTTCATTACGGTGTCGACTGATTTGAAGGAAACCAACTGTCCTGGAATAAAATTCTGAATGGTCGCATCGAGGTCGAGGATCCTCCTCGACATCTTTATTTCTCGCTGCTAATATTGCTCGTTCACCCAGCCAATTATGGTTATTGAACTTTTGCGCTATATCTGGGAAAACTCGCTGAATAAGCTCCACTTTTGAGTCTGTGATGTGACAGAAATCTGTAGATAATGTGATGAATTCGGTCGAGGTGTCCACTGCAACTTTATTATTTCCAATGTCTAACAACTGCTTCGCAAACACATTTGCAGTTTCATCTTGTTGCAAAAATACTCGCATGTTAGTTGTTAAGAGGAGTGTCTTTACGTACTGCCACAAATTTGATGATTTTAGGCATGCATTTAGTTCATCAGCAATAGTTGATCGGGGAGTAACTGGAAGAGTCTGACGAAAATCACCTGACAACAGAATCATGGCCCCACCGAAAATATTTTGGTTGTCACGAAGATCTTTCAACGTTCTGTCCAGTGCCTCCAGTGACCTCTTATGGGCCATTGTGCATTCATCCCAGACAATCAATTTGCATACCTGTAGGATCTTGGCCATTGCGCTATTTTTGGCGATGTTGCAAATTGGTGTTTCGGTGATTTGCATGTTTAGTGGTAATTTCAAGGCAGAATGTGCAGTTCGCTCGCCTTCTAGTAGAGTTGCAGCTATTCCAGATGAAGCCAACGCTAGAGCATCATCATTTCGCGATCTGATCCTCGCCAAAAGCAATGAAATTAAAAACGTTTTTCCGGTTCCTCCGGGAGCATCAAGGAAATAAATTCCACCAGATCCACTGTTCACAGCTTCTATCAAAGTGTCCTACGCAATTCTTTGTTGTTGATTTAATTGTGAAACATTTGTACGAACTGTTTCGGCCAATTCTTCAATGTCGTACTGATGTTCTCTTTGCAACTCGTGGTTTAATGCATCGTGCATATGACGATTGGGTGCTGTCATTCCCAAACACGACAATACTTTATTTGCCATCAATAAACACATATCTTCTACCATGATCAATGTGTCATTGTAAATTTCTTCAGTCATTTGTAGTGTAGGATTCAAAGTTTGACGGCGCACACGATGCAAAACATCCTCAGACATTTCATCTCTATAATTAACCCACAAATCTTTTGGATTCGAGGGGAAACATGTCGATATGAAAATCGCAAACAATGTACGAATTTGATGCGACGACGAAGATATTACGGAATCCTTGAGCGTATCATCCCAGTGCGAATCGTTCTCAAGTAAATGTAATACTTGACATGCCTCACGGTAAGTCGCACACAGCTGTCCATTAACTGTTCTCAGTTAACATTCACCAACAACAACCGCAAATAATAACATTCATCGTTATTTGGATGCACTGTGTAGATGCGACCCAGAGCATCTGAAGCAAATACATTTGGATGTCCTTCAAC